TGGTGGGGGGCCATGGGATGGTGGCCCATTGGAGGGAACCCAGGATGCATTGCAGCACCTGGTGGCGGTCCTCCATGGTGGGGGGGAGGCCCGGCGTGGTGGGGCGGTGGTCCTCCATGGTGAGCAGGAGGAGGGCCGCCGTGGTGGGGCGGGGGTCCGCCGTGATGCATACCATGTGGAGGGGGTCCGGGGTGGGGTCCGGGTCCAGAGCCCTGACCTTGAGCCTGGGCAGCGGCGGCCGCAGCAGCAGCAGCGGCGGCGGCAGCGGCTTGCTGCTCCATCTGTTGTCTGGCCTTCATCTCGGCGTATTTCAGCTGCTCCATGTGGAACGCCTGGCGCTCGGTGAGGAGCTGCTGCCGCTGAAGCTCCAGCTGCACAAAGAAACACAAACAATTAGAGGTGGAAAAATCCCTCCATTCTCAGATGCATCACGACGATTAGACTGAGGAAGTTATAGGAGCTTTCTGCCAGCAAAAGGTTAATAAAAGCATGTTAACTGGTGCTACAACCAACTACGATTAAAAAGCTAATGGTAAATAGCAGATCTGTAACGATTCATCAGAGGAGTCAAAGAACTTAATTTTTAAAAGTCCTTGAGCCATGTTACCCGCCTCAAGGCTTCGTCAAATAATGTTTAACTCTTTAGCGCACTGTGCTACAGCCAGACTCACTCCACCAATGAGCTGCTGATGAATGCTAAGAAGCTCCAGATTAATTCACTTATTGGCCATTTCTTACCACCTTTCCATATCTATTAACTAAAACCAATGATTTACCTTGGTACTCACTGATATACAATCATAAAAATATAAATTCTTACTTGTTAAACTTAGTTAAATAATATTTGGCATGAGACTGCAGGAATCTACATGCTTTCACTGAACGTTTTCTCCATTATCCAGACTGTTTCCATGTATTAGAGCTGGAACACGGTTTGCTGTGTTTCTGCTGTTCTGTGTAGATCTTTACAACTACAATGTTTTATAGCAGCAGCCCAGGTTTGGGTTCTCTCCAGTTCCACAAAAACTTCTTTAAACAGTTCTTTTCATGAAGTGTTTGCATCTGTGAAACTGGGCTTGAATCCCACCGCTATGAAAACACAGTTTTCCACTCCCACCAGTGTCTCCAGGACACACACTTTGAAACTCATAAGCTAAATCACTCATGTGTCCCATGAAGACCACTGTCGGTTCAAACTGCATCACTAAACAACTGCTTTGCTCTTGAAAACTTTCTCCTAGCAGCTCAATTTCTAAAGCTGCCAACATTTTAAGTTTTGTTTCTGCTTCAGTATCTTTGAAAGACCCAAGACTAAGTCAGGTTTAACTCACCCGGTGAGAACATGTGCGGATGGACTATATGTTTCTTGGCTACATCAAAGTAACCACAGAACTGAGTTGTATGGTACAGGAAATGCAAAACAGACAAGTACTCTCACAAAAACAAGGGTTCCCAGTCTGTCTTATAATAGCCACCTTATTTGGAGTAACAAAAAAAAAAATAAAAAATTCAAAAATTAACAGAAGAAAATGAGGACGAACCATAAAAAATAAATGACCCAGCAGCTTTATGATTTCAGACAAGAGTGATTTGTCTTTGGGAGGCTAAGAAATCGGTTTATCGTGTGAACAGCAGATAATCTAGCACTTTGTAGTGTTTTCTTAACATCAAGCTCAGACATTGTACAAGTATTTATTTCAAAATGGGACTGTGTGTTAAGTGAAGTGGAGGAGGTGCAAAACGTGGCCCGATAAATCCAATTCAGAGCATTTTCTCATTCAGTGAGTGACGCTAATAACCTTCATCTAAAATAAAGAAACTCCTGTTTCACACCAACATGGTGTTTAAAAGCAAAATATCCACCATGATCTAGTCAATTTTATTTAAAACAGTTATCATTACTGCAATAAAAATAACATACCACATTTTGTATCACGGTTATAGTGCTGCCATTTATACCAGATTTATTATTTTCATACTTTCAGAACTTTAAAACACCCTCTCATTTTAATAATAATAGATCATTTTTTATAATGCCCTTTATAGCCTTAGATATCAAAGAGCAGGAAACAGGAACAAAACAAGAAGTTGTAATGGATAAAGATAATTAAATGAATAGATACATGAATAAAAGAGATTAAAACCAATACGTAAGAAAATGAACCAAAAAGAAATCTCTTAAGGTATTTTTAAAAACAGTTAGTAATAAACTGACCTTTTTAAAACCTCTGTTTATCACAATAACTAATTATAGTATTAGATTTCAACTAAACATGTTGATTCTGCAGAACAGTTTAGCTTTTTTGGACATAAAAAATGTGTCATGTAAACACCCCAATCGGGATGTTTTACAGATTCAACTTGATCAAAATTAATTTATAATCTGAATAAGAGGGGTGATTTATGCCGACTGATAATCCGAATGGCGTGAATGTAAACACAGTTAATGTTAATAAATTTGCTGTGCTGCAAACATCTTTGAGATCTCATTATAAGGGCTTTAAACCATAGGAATGGTGAGACCAAAGACTTTCTAAAACCTCTGTTTATCACAATAGTAGTAACAAGAACTATGCTTACTTATAAAAGACTGGGGCGGATCAAAGGGAGCCTTGCCTTTGCATTAATTAACACATTTTTCTCCCAATTCCTAACATTTAAACTCTGACTTACAGCTTCCTTTTCGCGGTCCATGATGGTCTCCAGCTCTTCGAAGTGCCTCAGCTTGATTTCCAACTTCTTCATCTGGGTTTCCACCAGCAGCGCAACCAGGGACTTAATTTTCCTTTCTTCAACCGCCGCCAAGTGCTGAGAAGATGGATAAAGTACGATGATAAATATCCAAGAAAACGTAAATCTGTTGCAGGCCAGCATAATGGAAACATGTGATCTGTTGAGCGGCCGGCCTCACCTTGGCTTTGGTGGCTGCAGAAGCGAGAGCAGCAGCGGCCGCTGTGGCGATGTTTCCCTCTCCGATGTCATGCTCCAACTTCTTCTGCTTTTCCTCTCCCTCCTCAGTAGCCGTCTTGTCCTCTTTCTCCTTCTCTTGATCTGAAGATGAGGTGTCCATAGTTTCATCCTTATCTTTATCTGGAAGAAACAGTTTAAGAGATACATTCCTACTTCATTCCAACAGAACAATGTCATTTCTGCAAAAGAAAATGTTCTGAAGGACTAAGAACTGATGTTGATGGATGAGTTTTCTTTAGATTTCTACTTTGTCTCCAAAAAAGTCAAGTAAACTAAAACACGTTTTAGTGGTTCGTTGAAGAGATGTGATGACCTGTATCATGTTTTACCTGCTGAAGCCGTTTTGGTCTCTCCTTCTTCCTCCTTCTCCTGTTCATGCTCTGATCCCTCTGCTCCCTCCTTCTTCACCTTTTCTGTGCTCTCCGTCTTGTCGCTTTTCTCTGCCGACTCACTGGGCTTTTCCGCCTCATCCTTCATCTCAGCCTGAAAACAGAACATCACACACATGAGCTTAATGTATGAGAAAAGACATTATTCAGGAAGGATGCTTTGGGACTTAATGGGACGATTTAACTGTATTAAGTTTGTCTTGTGAAATTAGGAGTGCATGATATTAGAATATCTGCCAATGGTGTATATTATTTGTAAATATTGATGTATTTATGGCATCAGGTTCAATATTTCTTTATTTTCTTTTGTCCTTTGTTTCTCATTTGTGCTTCCATAACTCCAGGACAAAATGCAAACTCTTTCACTTTGAATATATTAGCCAGCAGTTATTGAACTCCAAACAGTCTTTTGCGATACGAGTATGAGCAACAATTTACATCACTGTGAATTTGTTCTACATTAAATAAACTGCTTTTAAATGCAGCCATGTTCATCGTTTGTGGATTATTAGTTCAAATTTCCCCTGTAGTGATCCAATCCAAGCGCCTGACGCTTGTTAACGAAGGATAATGATTCAGCCGCAGACACCGCATGCACTTTGGAGAAGACATTTACTTTCACCTGCAGCTCCTTCTACAAGCAGAAACTAAACACAGATGACTGGAAGGATAAACTTTACCCGCCCCTTGGGGGGGAGGGAGAGAAAGAGCACTTATAAAACGAAAACTGATGGTTGCCAAGAACTATTTAACACCTTAACAGATTTAAACTGTGTATTGATTTTTCTGTTTAAACATAATGAATGTTCCTGACTGCAGATGTAACGACATGATTTCAAACACTCACACCACACCAACGGCTCGCTGTGTACAGAAATGGTCAGACATGAGTCCACAGTCAGTGTTGATCATTTGAAATGACAAATATAGAAAACCAATGACCATATGTAGGGCGATAAGTAGAACTGATCAACTAATCAATTTATCTATTTAGACTCGGGTAAACTCTATGACAGCGTATTAGGCCAGGCTATGATTTATTTTTTATTCTTTTTTTAAATTACAAGAATAAAGTCATAATATTAGGAGAATGAAGTCGTAATTTTATGAGAATTCAAACACAAAAAGAAACAAAAAAATAGGGGAATGTTAGTATTTTATGACATTATCCTTTGGTGTCTGTATTATAAATAAGGAAATGAACATCAGCATCATTCATTTTTATCTGTACAAACAACCGAGTCTATTTGGAAGGAAGAATCACATGGACTGAGCTGATCATGTCAGATATTGATAACTAGAAGATTTTTTAAAATAAAAAGACTTTCTTGTAATTTTATGATGTTCTGGTAAAATTATGTCTTTATTCTGCTAAAAATATGAACATATTGTCTTAATTAAACAAAGATTCTTGAGCCTGGCCCTTATTTTTCCATCATACAACTCAAAATATTTTCTGCCGTTTGTAATCCATTTTATTTTTTAGGAAAGAATGCAAGAAAAAAAAAGATTTAAAATTGAATCTTGCATGAAAACCACTGGTGAATGTAACATTGTTTTTATTTCATTTTTTCATTTATTTTTATTCTGAACTATCAATATCTTAAACCTAAATTTATTGCATCTTTTTCAAACAACTGTCGGAAGAGGTAAGATGGCGGTGTGAACTAGTGACTCCGTAGGTTTGTAGCGTTTCCTCCAGGATTTATCCTCACCAGTTTGAGGAAATACACTTTTTTGTTCTAAAGATGGCTTATCAATATTTTTCCAAAATATTTTTTATAAGTTGCCTTTTTATCTCACCTTATCAGCCTGTTGGGAGTCTGAATCTGTTTCCATCTTTTCTGGCTCTGCGGTTTCTGCGAATCAAGAGGTGAAACAAAATATACATCAGGAAAATAATTTGTCAAAACAAACTCATGTTTTTTTTCTTCTTTTTTTTACAAAAACATTTATTCCTTCAGATAAAACCCCTTAAGAGGAGTGAGATTAGCAGGCTATTCTTAGTAAACAGATCAGTGGGGAAAAGTGTGAAAGCATCTGCACACAGGAGAGCAGCTGAATGAATGTTTACAGCTGAGAGTTAAACCATGTCACGGGTGCACTTAGGCCAACGTTGAGTCTGAAAATTGATTGTGGGTTGGGTGAAGTGCTTCAGGCCGAGTGAGAACTGGAACACATTTAGAGTTATTGATCACCACTGTAGTTGAAGAGGACAGTAATTCAGGCAGCAGAGGCATTTCATCAGGGATCATAAGTGCTGTGATGACAGTAAAAAGACACATTTTTAAGATGCTGCTAAGCAAAAATCAAGAGAGGCAGAACGATGACCCAGTTTTTCTGTTTTCCCTCCACCCAACCACTCTGCCCCATCTGCCACTGTTCTTTTAATCCACTGGTTACCACGGCAGTATAAACACACACCAATATCTGCAATGCTCGGCGCGTGCCGATAAAAACAGATGCAGATCAGATCCTTCAATGATCATAGAGAGTCATCATCTCCTGCTGGGGTTTGTGTGGATTCTTCCTAAAACATTAACATATTCTCAGAGCACTAATCTGCATCAAAACGCCCAGCTGCGTTTGATACTGTGAGTGCGTGCTGCCCTCTAGTGGCTGCACACTTTTTTTATCTGAAATATCTTACATGCAGGATTCGTACACTTATTCAACAGTAAAATTCAAGCATTTTTAAATAGGCAAGTATTAAAGTTTTTTAGTAAATAGAAATAATTTTGCCAACTCTAACTAACCAAAACCACGAAAAACTAAGTGTGACCAAACTTCAAAGAGTGAGAAAAAAAATGTTATTAGCTCTGAAATTTAATGTAAATCATGTTTTTCAAATTTAGGTTTTTAATCAAATGTTAGATTGCACTTTATTGCAACTGTGCACTCAATGAATTTATACATAATTCAAGCACTTTAAAAATCTTGAAAACACCAATTGAAACTCAAGCATTTACAAGGATTTCAGGCGCCATTACAAACACTTTATGTGTTGTAAACTTGCCCAAAAATATTTTTTGTAATGGTTCAAAAGAATAAAAAAAGTCTCCTCTACATTTGCACCTGTTTTTTCGGGCTCCTCCGGTGCGGTTCCTGCGATGCCGCTGCTCTCCAGGCCAAAGGTGGGATCCACCTTGCCGGTGCTCCTTGCTGCCTCCTGGACCTTCTTGACGTGAGCTTCTACCAACTCGGCAGGAACTTCCTCACGCACGCGAGAAAACTCCTCTGAAAAAGGAGAAAGGCTATTTTTACCTTGATGTCCTCTAAATGCTACCAGCACTAAAACAATACACGAAGAGATAAAGTCTTGATTCATTGATTTAGGTAAAAGAAATCAGCTTTTTCCAACACTCCTTGTCGTTTTGTGTGTTTTTGTAAATGTTTTAGGGCTGCAACTGACAATTACTTTAGTTATCCATTATGACAATTAAATGGATAAAAAAAACTGTCACATTTTGAAAAAAAAATGATTTAACCATTTAAGTCTATTTTTTAAATATTAAAAATACATAAAAATGCAAACAAAACACAAATACTTTTTAAATAGGATAATACGTATTTCAGTGAACATTTGATTATCTGTAGAAAATGATGCAAATCTGTAGCTATAAATAAAATATTTTTAACATTCCTTTCTATTTTTAATAGTCCTTTCTGCCTGACTTAACATGAATGCAGTGTGGAGCTGATTTGTTGATTGTTTTTTTATTAACAGATTAATAATTGGATAGCAAAAGCTCCCAACTAGGAGAAATATTTTAAAGAATTTGAACTAGGTGAAGCCAAAACTACACCGTAAAACTAGAACGTATTTATAGACAAAGGCTTTACTTTTATCTTAAATGTGAAATATATATATTTTTGGACAGTTTTAGCTTTGTTGCTACCCTGAGAGTGGTGTTCTTTCAACAGATGGCCTTTCTGTGTGTGTATACTGCAGTTAACGAATAACTGACAAATTCGTTGAGGATTATTTCAATAATCGATTCATCACGATTGATCAAATTAATCGTTTCAGCCCTAAAATAGTTGAGTAAGGTCATTGCAAATTCACAAATCTGATTCCAATGCATCAGCAGCAACAAATTATAGTAAAAGTATGACACAACACCTGATCTATTTCAGCTCTTCCTCCTGTTCTCACCTAAAGCTGCCTTGGCTGCAGCAGACGCTACTCTGGGATCCACCACAGAGGCCAGGAAGGCGACTGTGCTCATTACTGGGTTTCCGGACTGGCTGAAGGGAATGGGCTGGTAGGCCAGAGGGCCCAGAGACGTTTCTGTGCTCTCCAGGTACGGATCCTCAATGGGCAGCCGCAGGAAGTGCAGGATACATTCATCTTGGGTGCGAGAACCAACATGCTCCGACACTTTGTTCCAGTCGTCTTTGAACATTTCCAGGGCCTGTAAGCGGTACAAAGAGAGACATCTTTACCAGAACAGAGTATTTGGTTCTAATAGAAAATAAATACAAGTAATGAGAACATATTTAAAAATGTAACATTTACTGATTTATTGTGCAAGAAAGTTAGATAAGGAAGAGCAAAGTTGGAGAAAAGTGTTCTTTGCATAAAAAGGCTCACCTCAAGCAGCAGCAGAGTCTCTTGCTCGGTCCATTCTCTGGTGGTACCGGCTCCTTTTCCCTGCTGTGATTCAAAGCAAATACACATATAAAGTTAGACCATTTACAAGTCATTTTAAACATAATTTAGAATTTTACAGGCAAAATCTACTTTGATTTCTCACTTTGGCGTTTTTCTTGTAGAGGTCAGGGCGGAGACCAAAGTTCTGCAAGTCAATTGGTTTGTCTTTGGACTTATCTGCAAAGTTGGGCATTGGCTGAGGAGGAGGAATCTGGAGAACACATTATAAACGCCATAATGTTAACCTTTTAGCTTTTAAAGGTGTAATTCTTTACAGATGGTAGAAAATGTTGTCCTTACAGGTGGAGGCCGGTGGTTGAGGGGCATGAGGCCAGAGGGAGTGTCAGCCAGCACAGTGAAGTGGGGCGTGGGAGGGGGGCCCATGGGTAACGGCCGACTCTCAGCATCCACCTGGTAATTTACCAAACCCCACTGCTCCAGGAATGCATGAACCCTGAAGATGAGCAAAACACAAAGTTTAAATTCTACCATTATCAGTGTTTTCAAAGCATTTATACTAGGCCTGAAACAATTAATCATGATTAATCGATTATTTAAATAATCAACTAATGTAGTAACCGATTAATTGTTAGCTATTCTATAAAGACTCAAAAAATGGCCAATCACTGAAAGAACACTCAGAACAGTAATTAACACAAAACTGTGCAAAAATATTTACAATTAAATTTAAAATAATAAAAAAAAATTATCTGTAAATATATTTTACCCAGAAATCCTTGAATGATATATTTTTAGCTTTACCTGGTTCAAATTCTGTAAAAAAAAAAAATCTGTTATGAAGCACCTTTAGCTTAATTAATAGTCTAGTCCAGAAGATAATCAGCAGATTTGCCCTACATTGTATTAGATCGAACAGAAAGGTCTGAGCTTTTCACTTATTAATGTTAGAAGTATATTCTGGGCTGCAGTTCCTTTGCTACAAATGATGAAGCGTAAACTAAAAGGAATGCTATGTTATTGCATTTTAGGCAATAAAATGTTTTTTACTTAAAAAACAAATTGAAGTATTTGCATTTTAAATATATTTCTAATATTGTACAAAATATTCAATAACAAACATCCAGAATGTGCCAAATTTGATACAAACGCCTAATTGACTTTTTTTTTTTTTTTGCAGAGAACAAAAACTGGGTAAAAATGAAAAGCTAAGAGCCACATATTTAGCAAACCTCATGATGGCACAGACGTCCCCAGTCAGGTTTCTGCGACAGGAAGTGGAGGTCAGGTACTCCTGAGGGTTCAGCCGGTACGTGTCGATCATGAAGTTACGATAGGCCAGGTATCTGTGCAGGAAAACATGAGCATGACAGGAAATGTTTACAGTAATACCAGAAATAGTTCTCATAAAATAACATTTCCAACTCTATGTGGCTGGTGCAGGACTGAATGTCAAACTCACATTTCTGGAGTCTTGGATTTGTTCTTCCCATTAAAGAACTCTGGAAGAGCTCTCCTCTCAATCTCATGGATGCTAAAAGGAGTTAAAACAACAATAAAAAATTATGTTAAACTTGAACTGGGTATATTTTAATTACTGTAAAAATTGTGATTGAACCTGATATAAAATTTAAAAGAAAAACTATAAAGCTGGGTTAACTTAAAAACTCCATCACACTAACTTTCCAAATAAAACTTTATCTTTTGTTGACTCCTCAGAAGGTCCAGCGTTTTTGACCTTATATGGTCAATGCAATAGATTAAAGCATTTATAAACCTTCGTACAAAGCATGTAATCACTAAAAGCGCTAAATGTAGCAACAAAAAAGGAGACAAAATAACAGAGATGTTTCCACTCTGTCTGAGCTGACCTGTTGTAGTCGAACCAGGCAGCATAACTGGGAATGATGATGTGATGCGTCTGCTCAGTTACATTGTCCTCTCCAGCATCCATCCGATTGACTTCTCCTTTGCCCTGTTCATCATCATCCTGCAGATACAGACAGTTCTCTAAATAATGACACTAAAAATAATGTTTTGAATTTTTCAAAACTGTCAAACCTTTGTTTCTTAGTATACATTTAATGTGCCATCTAATCCACAAAAACAAAACTATCCTGACCAAATATATTCCTTTTAAAGACAAAATTCAAAACAGCCTCAGCCACAAAATGGACCACTGAAAAAATTACCTCTACAAATGTAGCTCAGAACACTCAATGCTAAACTACTGGAACCACATTTAAATATGCTTCCAGCAGTCTGATAAAAACATAGCAGGGTGTGAAAATTGTAGGTATGTCAGCTTAAATAGATCACATTTTTAGTGATGTGTTGCTTTCTGACCCAGTTTCACTCTGTGGTGGAGTAGAGCATCGGAGGAGACTAGTTGGGACAAAATATCTTCCCAATTTTGAGAGAGAGAGAGAGAGTAGCATGTTTTGTGGTTTAGTAGAGCTAAATTCCACTTATTTTACGCATCTTAAGACACGTTTTCAACTGACAAATGGGATGGCAATATTTTTACCCAATGAGAGTTAATCTGACAAACTGACATAATTCTGCACAGAACCAATAGAATACAATATGGATTTCACTGGAGTTTGAAGTTCATCTACAGTAACTGAAAACAAATTTTTAAATTTTTAAAATACTTTGCATTCCTCATGGAAATACCAAAGTCTATGTAATGTACAAATGAAATAGCTCATTATAGCGTCACTGCTCCAATCACTGAAGGCCTTTTTACGGCGCTTGCAGCTTTTTAATGTTTTTTGTTTATTTATTGGAAAATAATTCTCTATAATTTAAAAATTTCTATATTTGAAAATTCTTGATTCATCAGTTTACCAATACATTTCAGTACACTATGATAAAAATAAAAAAGAAGTTTTTTCGGACCTTGCCACCGGACAGCACCGAATCATCCTCCATGTCATCTGGGAAAAATGCAAATAAACTTTGTTAGACACATAGCAGCGCTAAAGTTCAAGGGTTTTAAGATGATTAAACACAATTATGTTACCAAACACACAACCAAGCATGCAAATCCAGTTAGGATACAAACCCAAATCTGCCATATTCCCTCCCTTGACTGGAGTATTTTCACTGTCTTTTTTTGAATTAGCTGTGCATGGAACAGAAGTGAGAAAAATGAACCAAGTGAAACACTGGAGGGGAGATAAAAGATTAAAATAAAAAACCTTCAAGACAGCACAATTCAGGGGCATGGAGGTAATAACCAACATGAAGCAAAACTGGGGGGAAAACATGAGAGGACCCTAAAATAGACTGAATTACTTTGGGTGCTTTGAGAGAAGATGATTTCTTTGGGGGGACAAAAAGTGGGACATTAATGGGACTAGGTAAAAAAAATAAAATAAAAAAAGAAAGCGTTCTCAGTTTTATGTGATTGGCATTAAAGTATATCCTAAAAGAAAATAATTTGAGTTTTAAGACCAAGTCTTAAAAGTTGGAGAACGGCATTTTGTTACAAGATACGAGTACAAAGTGAAGGACAAAGAGTTAAAAACAAAACTACTGATAAGTAGGACTGGGAACCTAGAGAAAGAACCTGGCTTTGTTGTAAGTGTATATGCTGCATATGCTGCTGCTGCATTTCCACTCTGTTGAGTTCATTCCACTGACATGCAAAGCAGGTGAGGACAGAGGAGCTCAATCCCAGAGGCATCAACATGACATGCAGGATGTTGAAACAAGCACAATGCTTCTGTGCTAAGAATTACTCAAACAAAGACGTCTTGTGCAGGATACCTTTAATTAATCTAAAGTTTTGGACATTCTCTAACATTTTGAAACATAAAAGCGCAGAGTATCCAGTGTCAATTAACTGGTTATTTTTTTGTTATTTTACACCCAGATAATAAGTTCTGCCAGTGCTTCCCAGAGCGGAATGCTGTAGGATGGAGAACACACCATGCTGTCTTTACTTGAATCATAACAGAAGTAGTCTGTTCTCTCTTGCTTATTGTTTCATCATCTTTTAGCCATGTGATACTTTTAACAATGTTATATTATATGATTACAGACAGTATTATCCTGAAAATTGCTGATTTTAAGGTCAGGACATAATTTTATTTTACAGTGTTTTCCTTCTGGAAATGAACTTCCAAATACATCTTTTTAAACTGAGTAAATATGAATTCTACTAGAATTCTAGTAGAACTAGAATTTTAATCACAATGAAGGTGAATAAAAATTGGTCTTAAAGAGAAGTCTAAACATTTCCAAATTGATATTCAATGATAAGTGCGATTTTACTCACTTTTGTCTAGTACAGATAACTTTTATTCGTTCCTTCAGCTACACTTGCCCAACTTAAATAATGTATTTTAGTTGTTTCATTTAACAGGATTTTAAAAAATTGTCAAGGTGACTTAAATTAATCAAACTGTCAAGATGCTCAGGGCTAGAAGTAGTGAGAGCAATGTGATGAAAGAAAAAAAAGGTCAGAAAAACAAAGGTTAACAGTAATCAATATTCCAAAATGCAGAAATAGCTGCTTGTGCAGCTTTCTGAAGCTTTGTCCCTGAAAAACATAAAAACAAATCTAATTTGCTGTGAGCTTTGTCCTTTGCTTAAACAGCCCACATACCATTCTTGGACACACCATCCTCCATGCTGGCGCCGGCAGAGGAGTCATCCATGTCCTTCGTCATGTCCTCCTCAGTGTCCTCTTCCTCTCCTCTGTGTCCCCGTCGCTTCCAGTGAGGCCCTGGGTTCCTGCGAAAGGGCAAATTGGAAGCTTTTCAGCACCGACTACTTTTTCTGTGTTGTTCATCTAAACTAAATTGTCTTTCTTACCCCTTCTTTCCTCCTTTTTTTCGGGACTCGGCTGGAGTGCTGGGCGGCGAGGGCGAGCGCCTCCTCTTCTTGCTCGCAGAGTTTGCCTTGCGCTCCTTGCGATCGGGTGTACGGGAAGACTGATCAGACAAACCCCGTGCAGCGCAGGGAGCGAGGGATGGAGGATGAGAGAAAGAGCGGCAGAATGAGAAGAATGGAACGGTTGCACACACAAGGAGGGGAAGCAGAGGGAGAACAACAACAGGGTTGGGGAGGATGCTTTGGTGGGTGGTGGAGGAGACAAACCGGGTTCCTGTACACCGTCCAGTCAAAAATAGTCACATCTGGTTAATAAAGTTCCATGTTTGCTCTACAAATGTTGTCATTTTCCAACTTATAGTGGTCAAATCCTAAAGAAAGTAAAAACATTGACTGCCTCCGTATTAACGCTGACAGGAACCCTGAACTTAATCAGAAAGTAGACGAAGTGCAACAAAAGGTTTGAAAAAGGTGAGCAGTAGACAGAAGCCAGATGTGGAAAAGGACGACGAAGAACAGGGCAAAGCTACAGGCAAAAAAAGGCTAACTTGCAACAAAAAAATACTCTCATACAAAACATCCACACATGCCGTCAAACTGAATGTTTCAAACACAAGACACACAAACCTACCTCCTCCTCTTTGGGGAAGATTCTCTGTCGGAAGCTGACAGGCTTTTTGTTCTCGTCCAGCTCATAGTCTTCCTCATTCATCCACTCATTGAAGGCATCTGTGTCTAAAACCCACTTGGCATGAACCTAAGGAAGCAGAGAGAAGTCTTACCTCTGTAATATTTACAAATGATCAAAAGAGCATTGTTAATAAGCAGTGATTGTGAAAGCGAATAATCCCTTCAACATTAATATATTAATGAAATTATTAGATTTTATTTTAATTCAACTGGATTTAATTAGCAGTATCAATATAATTCTGCAATTATTCCAAATAAACTGCATTTCATGACATTGGTAGATTTGTTTTTGTAAATATATTTTTACCAGAAGCCCAGTTCTAGTCTTTTTCTTCAGCTTTAGTTATAACAAAACTTGTAAAGTGATGTAAGGAAACATCATTTTTTGAAACTTCAAGGCATTCAAAACGGATCTATTCCAGGAGCCAACTTAAAAACTCAAATAATTTTGAAAAGTATCAATTATTTTAAACAGATACGATAAGGAGCTTATTTTTCTTTTTACACAAAAAAACCCATCTTCATAGACCGTGATATTTACCTTCCAGGGTTTCTCAGAGCTGGGAGGATCTTCCACATCACCATCCACCTCACCGCCTGACACCCAGGTGTCATAGCTGACAAAACATGAACCATCAGTGATCAGTCATGCAGCGTAAAGACATGGGGAACTGAATCAATTTCTTAAAAAAATACTTAAAATAAACATGCAAAACGTTATCCAGAAAATATGAGAAAAAAGCCATTTGAGAAAGAAAATCTGAGCTTTTCAGCAACAGATTCTGTTCACCTGTCTGGGTAGAAGCCCCAGTGAACGAGGACCTGCTTGTCCTTCCTCATGACCGGACGCAGCCACTCCTCTGAAAAACACAAATCAGTGTTTAAATTCTAAATGTTCAGGAGAAAAACAATCAATTTACATTTCCACCCACTTATTGCACAATTGTCCATGTTGGTGAAAATGGAAAACTCTATCTAAACCACTGTTCGCTACATTTTTATACAACTAAAGACACATTATATGGCATCTGAAAACAGTTGGATCATACTGGGAACAAAATAAATCTTCTCCTGAACATTTTATATAATTAACAAGTGAATCTGTGAGTCAGAAAAATCTCAATCAAGTTTATTTATATAGCATATTTCAGCAGCAAGGTGGTTCAAGATGCTTTACATAATAAAAACACAACATTACAAAGCTATAAAGAAAACACCATACAGTCAACAACTGCACAAACTACATTTTGATAAGTGCCATCACCAAAATCATACACATCAAATATGACGGTCAATGTTTTATTTATTATGGTTCAAAAGATTTGAAACCAACCGTCTTCCTGCTGCGTCAAAGATGGGTGAATGTGATGAGTTGCCTTTGACTTGTCCTCAGTGACCGAACCCTGGAGAGGAGATGAGAAAAAAAACAAATACATCAGCATCTATTATAAAATCTACTTCCCAAATAATTAGGATTGTCTCGGTTTGACCCAAGTTCACCTGGTGCCTCTTGATGATGTCTTTGAGCTTGCTGACTTGCTTCTGCTCAATTTCTGGCGACAGGTAGACGAGGGGCCGTGTCAGGCAGTTATTCTAAAAGCACACAAACACTTTCAGGAAACCGGTAAAGAGCTAAATGAAGACATATTTAGTCTAAATAACACAAACTGAACATGTACAGTCAGCAGCCTTTGTCTACACTCTTGCTCTCACCTGGACCAGGTGTTTTTCAACATTTAGGAACATTTCCACATTCCGGTCCATCCGAGACGGATTCTGCAGGTCAAATCTCCTCCTGATAGTGAATGTCAGATAATATATAATAAAATCCCTGATAAATATCTTCAATTGGTACTCATGGACATACATATTAAATCAATCAAGTTTATTTTAATATCACATTTCAGCAACAAGGCAGTTCAAAGTGCTTTACATCATAAAAACACAAAGTCATAGAAAACACAGTTGAAACATTTTGCCAAGTGCCATCATTACACATCAAAATGTTGGGTAGTATTTCAATTATTATGGTTCAAAAGAAACAGTTAACTTACCAGCCCTGCTCACTTTTATACTTGTATACTGATCCCAAGATGTGACAGAGAGTTCCTCCTGCCTTGAGATCAAGGAAACATTTGGCCTAGACGAGGGGAAGGAACAAGAACTGTGTTTTAGTGCCTAGGGTGTGTGGTTAATGTCACGAGTAATGAGTGTGTGCTTACAGGTAGCTTGGTAAGAGGAGGATTGTTGACCCTGCGTCCAAACGCATCCTCTTGAAACTGAAGCAGCTGGACCACCAGGCCAGCCAGGGACTTACTGGATGGAGAGTCATTCTGGACATACTGGGGGGACACAAAGACAAACACGTTAACTTATCTCATATTTTTTAACTCATGTTTAATGAAACAGAAATGCTCCAAGACCTCCAGTCAAAGTAGGCGGTGATAGCATCACTAAAATTAATAGTAAAATTCAAAGGAAGAACTCAATCAGTGTTTACTACTGCCTCTCAGTCCATACATTCATCAGCTTTTTCTTTAAGTTTAAAGAGCAAACGAATAAATCAGAAATTAAGTATCTAAATATATGTATATTTTTAACAAAAGCTCTGCTTACAAACAAAATGGAGACAGAAATGCATCAGAAAGTAGCAGCGCTAGGCTCTAAAATACAAATTATGCTCATGTAAAGGAATATCTCATATTGCACTTTTCTGCAGTCACCAGTGAAAATCAGAGATGATCTGGGAAATAAGCTGGTGACTGGAATCAGCAGATTTTCAGCTGGATCTGCCCTGACCAATGACCAGACAGAAAGTAGAACATTTTGTGACCAGTGAAAGCACAAAGTACCGCCAGGTCACCCAATAGACCCCACTCCTCAGTGTGGATGCATTTAATGTGTGAAGAAGACTCAAAGTTAGATATTTTTCCTATTAATGATGTCTATTAATCAGAAGGAGAATGGAGATGTGAGTAACAACTGAAAAGGAGGCTGTATTACCAACAAGACATCAAGACATCTTTCCACTTTATTCAGGCTGCAAAAGAGCGAGAGAGAGCAAAACCTGCAGCAGTTAACAGGGACTTTGAGCAAAATGCTGCAATGTTGTTCTGTTTTATCCTTTTCCCTCCCTGTGAAAGTGCTGGATTATAAAATCTTGTTATTGGGGATCTCAGTGATAAGGTAATGTGCTACATTATTCAGAACATAAATATATTTTTTCTAATTTTTTCTGCTGAACAGCAATCGTTACTGATATGGAATTACACCAACTCTGACAAAAAATAATTACAGATCACACACAGCAGGAAGGCAAATAAAATAATACTTTTTATTGTTATTGTATTTTATGTTGCCTCTTAAAGACAAATCCAAATTGGCTAAAATCCGTTTCTGGAGGTTAAATCTTTACAAAATCGAAAGATTTGAAATCATCCACAAAATTATGATCAGTGCTCAAGAAGGGTTCTAAAGATTCATAAATAAAACCATATAACTCATAACTAACAAGTAGTTTTTTTATTATTAAACAGTCATTACCAATGACCAATCTATATAGCCTTTCCTTTTTGGAAAGGCTGATGGAGGTGCAATTACTAAGCAATAAATACAATATGTTTAGGTACATATTGATGTACCTAAACATCAATATGTTTAGGTACATGTTCTTATTCCTGCAGTTCATAGGATAAACTACCATCTTTAGAATATTAGTCTGCACCCACAAATAAGTTAATACATAAAATAACATCTTCGTAAACTGGTATTTGTATAAATTTTAACACTTGTTCAAGGATACTTGAAGTGCATGATGTTTGTGCGCATAGTGCTTGCCACGATAAGTTGCATTCTGTTTTTTTAGTATCATTTTCCAGGCATGAGATACACGTCCACATACATAGATGACCTTTATTATAAATCTGAGCACAGAACAGCTTGTAACAAAGTAATCACACTTCTTATACACTGCTTATGCATGAGCAAATTACTTCCTATATTAGATTTCTTTTGTGAAACTGTATTAAAGGCGATAAATATGCCTCCATGTAAATCCAAACATTTCTATGTATTATTTAATTCAAACTTTACCCAGATTACAATTTTAACAATCCCAGTTTAATAGTGGGTTAGATTTGGAGCATTAGGGGAACACTCTTTGTTTAGCTAACTGAAGTGGGTGAATGGAGCCTGAACTGGCTGATAAGCTAGTGTGTTGACAAAACACAACCTGTTGTTCTACACAAAATGCATCTGGATTTGAAATCTGTACAGTTATCTAATGACTGATTTTATTCCTGAGTTTAATACCCCAAAAACTGGATGAATGCGCATTTATCCATATGATTTGTATGAAGGCTATCCCGTGACTTTTCCGTTAGCTCTTGAGGCCTTTTATTATACACGATGAGAGAATGTTTTATTTTTTATTATCTTACCTGAGTAAAGTTTCAACTGTGTTTCTCTATAATAAAAACCACAAGCAGCGTATCCGATGGACGTTTATGAACATTTCCTAAACAGTGTTGCCATTTAGAAAGCTGCATGAGAAGTCAGGGAGCTAACTGTAGCTAGGCTAGTTTAGTTCATTTCCACTAGTACTCGTGTGAATACTGCGTATATCTATACTGCGTATACCTGTAAAATACGATATACTATCGTATTTTATAGGGATACGTGAACTGCACAAATAAGTTTATATGCGTATAAATAAATAAATATGTCTGGAGATAGTACTTGTGAGGCTAAAAGCAGATGTAGCAGATCCATTGTGCCAACGAGAGGCGGGCCTTCATAGAAAGCAATGGAGCAAGAGAGCAGCTAGCTCACCTTCTTGTAGTGCTTTCCGATCCAAAGTCGCACCGTCTCAAGCTGAGAAATTGTTTCCGAACTTTCCCAATATTTCGTAGAAGGTCCGCCGTCTTTCTTTCGGGCTACCGCCGTTCCGCCGCCGACCAGACCCGCGGTTCCTCCGCCTGAGCCCGTCCCGCCTGCTGTTGTCGCCGACGTCGCCATTGTGTTTAGCTCGCTGCGTTGCCTTTCTCCTCCAGAGCGTCCCTCACCGTGCAAGTTTTCAAATGATATTGCGCAGTCGCAAAAGTCTCGATGGAAGAGCTCATGGGAAATGTAGGCATAGCCTCAAAGAAGAAGAAACGGAGACGTTCAAGAATTAGTCACGTTCAACCACTCACACAGTATTTCGGCTGGTACGGCTGTTTTTACACAAAAAAACAAGATCGGAAATGAAAAAAGTGCAAAAATAGAAAAGAGCAATTATGTACATTAATTTACAAGAGTATTTTATGTGACCAATTCAGTAATTTATTTTATTTTTTTTAAGTCAATGCACAACAAAATGAGAAAGGACCAATAAGCTCGTCTGCCAGTGCAGCAACAATTTGGTTACATAATGTAATGTATATATTATTTAAAAATTACTGAATTAAATCAAATCCATTTTGAAACTTGTATGTCAACATTTTAAACTGTATTTGCTTTGCAATTGATCAACAAAGTTTCCCAAGTATACACAAACTTCTGTTGAATACTTATGTTTAATGATATGCTCTTGTTTGTGTTAGACTTCATAATAAGCTTACATCACAGTTTCAAAAGGATATAAACCCTGTCGGTTAAAGAGTATAATCAGAGTGTACTTTACAGTCCACCTGACAGCACATATGATAATTAACTATATTTTACTGCTTTATCTTAACTTAGAAATGTGAACAGGAAACAAATGTACTTATTTGGAACTGACAAATGACACATAAAAGAAAGTCATAAAACCAAAAGGGAACAAAAAACAACCTTTAAACTGTATTTTTTTATTTATTTGATAATGTGATTTTAAATGTTTGTTTGGCGTTACCACTGAGTATATAGCTCAAAATGTTCACACAGACACAATGTAGCGACAACCATATTTTACACTTCTGGTTGCTGTTTTTTTACATGCACTCAAATTTTTGATCCACTTAGAAAAGTAATCTTATTCCTTTACAACGTCTATTTATCTTTCCATTTCCATTTCCCACGAACAAAGTCCCCCAGAACTGTTGAGTAGGCACAGTAGAAAACAGTTTTCCCTTTCTCATTAGCTACACCTGAACAGAACTACTCTTGACCTAAAAAACCCTGTATCTGCCTCTGGCATAATCAGAAAACAAAATTAAATACAATTCCTCGGTGATAAACTCTGGCAAACAGGAAACATGACTCCTACACACAGTTTGGATCCTCAGACAGTGTTCAGAGCCCTTTTATTTCAGCTTCTTTAAAACAGATCCTGGATGGGACATTTGCTGCTCCTCTGCTGGCCCTCTGTGAGCTATGGCTATTGGGGACCAGAAAAAAAATAGGTTTTCCTTCTAAGGGTAAATTGGGATAGATAAGGCATAGAGAAGATGATGATTTGTTATTACATGTGAGATAAGATACGCTATATTTCAAGGGAAAAAACGTGCTGCACGGAATGACCGACATTTCTGTTGCATCAAAATAAAGCCATAAAGTTTCTCGGTTTCAAATTCATCGTTGTCCATAACTTACTCATTTTCATTTTAACAGATGTTACTAAGTTTTAAGATGCTTCAGATGAATTTCAGTAAAATGTTGAAACACATAGAAAACAGGCAATAACTAAACTTCAGATCAACAGTGACAGGTGCTGCACCGATAAAACACACAAACTGTCTTAAGTTTTTCATTTCAGGCCAGTAAAACTGGCTTAATTTGACAGGACTTTATCTAAATTATTATGACCTTCACCTTTTAGCATGGCATGACACAGAATTTTTCAACCCTCAGAATGAAAGTAAATAGAATTGTGTTAGAAGCTGCAAATCCCTCACGTGTTTGCAGCAATAAATGTTATCTTATTCTAAGGAATAATCAAAGTCATAAGCAGAGTAAGAAAGCACATATCACGATAAGATTCCTGCATAAATATTCCTTGATAAACAGCAGTTCCTCATTTTCTTCAGTGACTTTTTGACAAGAGGTACTTGGACCAGAATCTACAGTCTGTAATGTGCATTGAGTTCAGTTTTTCTTTTCACAATTAGATTTTGATATCTGACTTGTGAACTTTCTCTGCAGTGTAAATCAGAACAATGAGACAGACTTCAGCTCTGCTTCTGCTGCTTCTCCTGGTGACAGCCGTGGCTTATGGATACAGTAAGAATCATCTGCCTTCATCTGCAAATTAAATGTTTTACTTTGGATTCACTCAATGTCAAAACAGTAAACTGTGAGGCTATCATCTTAGTTGCTCAACTATGTTTTTCATGTATTTAGAGGCAATAATAAAAGAAAAACAGAGATTGGGATTTTAAGATGATTTTTTTTCACCCACACTCAGGGGCTTCCCATAAATATTTGAAATTCAACACAGAATATAGAAATGTATATTTATTAATATAAATTGAGAACACTATGCATTTTAATTTAATTTCAGCCAGCCCTGTTTGCAACTCAAACTAGGACTGCATGAACAGTAACACATGCACACATTATATATACATAAATGTGTATTTCTGAACAAAATACATTATTTTATGCCTCTTTTTACCATTTTCTTTCATATTGGATTCATACTACTGTGTATTGAAAAACAACTTTTAAATGTTAAATGAAATATAATCAGAAATCTCATTGCCCTCCTGCAGTACCACCGGTTGCAAAACCCATGTTAAATAGCCATGACTTTAAAGACTTGATGGAACTTCACTCTTTATAAGAGCTGCTTCATTTCCTTATGCTTAATCAGAAAAGTGTTTTTCAAAACACCAACATACATATCAAGAAAGGAGAAAGTGCCAACAGCTATCATTGTTTCACTGTTTTGTTTTGTTTATTTTTATTTTTTTCAGAAAATGTGGCTTTACATGGCAAAGCAACTCAGTCTCATCGGCTCAAATCAGAGTTTAGTATGGATGCCAACAATGCTATTGATGGAAACCGAAATTCTGACCTGACACGGGGATCTTGCACCCACACTGGATCACAGGCACACCCCTGGTGGAGAGTGGACCTGCTGGAGTCCTACATCATCACTTCCATCTCTGTAACCAACAGAGGAGACTGCTGCTCAGAAACCATTAACGGAGCAGGAATTCATATAGGAAACTCCCTACAAGATGATGGTAGATCAAACCCAGTGTGAGTAAAACCCTTTTTTATTTCAAATCTTTGGAAAGAAAGAGGAGAACTTTCAGTCACGTGAGGGTCCTTGAATAGTGTTTTATAATTGGCCTAATAAACTGAAATTATTTGCATTTCACTTATAAAACTTATATTTATTTAACAGATGTATTATTTTTAATTCTACAGGATATGACAAATGTAAAAAAAAATAAATAAACAAAGTATATAGATGTTTGTTATCCACTGAAATGATACAGTATTTAAGACCTAGTCTAAAGTTTGTGTTCATTTATTAATTTTGGTTTAATTTTAAATTGCTTTTTCCCATTTTTTAATTCCTTGCAGAGAAATCATGGTCGATAGATATGCATTGCTTTATAACTCATTATTTTACTGTCTTGATTGTATTGAAATAAACTCAAATTTATCCCACTTTTTCTTTAGGGTTGCTGTAATTGCTGGCATCCCATCTGGAAGGACTTTGAAAATAACTTTTACCAGTCCTGTTAAGGGCCGTTATGTGATTGTGTCACTTCCTGGTTTTAACAGAGTCCTTACACTCTGTGAGGTGGAGGTCTACGGTTATCGTGCTCCAACTGGTGAGACCTGCATTTCTTACTCTCAATATATTATTCAAAAGAAGCTCAAGTTATTTTATCTCTAATTTTAGGAATAGTATCAGAAGATGAAATTGTTTCACATTTTCAGAGTGTAAATAATCCAAAAAAACAGCAGTGCAGAAGAAAGAGTATATCTTAAACGGTTCAGTATGCGTAAGAAGTGCAATAGTCAAATATAAAATAACTGCCATGGAACAAATGAAGCAGTTACAAAAAAACATTAAAAATAGGATTGCTTTCCCGCTAACTCCCGTCTCCTGCATGAAGATCATTAAAAAGTTTTTGTTTTCGAATCCACTATAATAAACGACTCAAATACATCCAGGCATATCGTCAGAACCCACTTCTCACTGTAGTCAAATTATTTATCAATTCTTATATTTTAAAATCTTATGTTGCAGGAGAGAATATAGCAATCTGTGGAAAAGCTACTCAGTCATCATTGCATTCTAATGGCATTGCCTACAACTCCATTGATGGGAATCGTGCTGGATACTGGAGCAAAGGTTCTTGCAGTCATACAGCACAAGAATTAAATCCCTGGTGGCGACTGGACCTGGGAAAAACCCATAAAGTGTTCTCTGTCAATGTAACCAGCAATGTGGAAAACTACGTACGACTTCGAGGAGCTGAAATTCGTATCGGTGATTCACTTGATAACAACGGCAACAATAATCCCAGGTGATAGTCAGAAATCCTCATATTGCAACGCAACATATTTTCTGCCTCATCACATTTTGTTTCTTAACAGAACCAATTATTTTTTTTCCTAACAGGTGTGCTGTGATCTCAAACATCGCTCCAGGTTTTACTCAAAACTTTCAGTGCAATGGAATGGATGGTCGATACATTAACATTGTCATACCTGCAAGAGTTGAGTATCTCGTCTTGTGTGAGGTTGAAGTCTACGCATCAAGACTAGATTAAATAGATCTGCCACTCTTTTAAATGTTGATACTTTCGTAGAAAAACATGTCTTCATCAAATTTAATGACTAGCTCACAATACTCAGTGACAGCTGTAAATCCTTTGACTAGAACATGATCCAATCACTTTATGCTTCTGAACTGCTGATTTAAGAAAATACTTACTGAAAATCCAAAAAGTAAAAAACAGAAAACAATAATCTTGTTAATTAGTTTGCAAGGTGTTATGTGTAACCAATTCAGTAATTCTTTGTTTGTATATGTTGATGCAGATATGATGAGAAAGGAGCAATAATCTGCCAGAGTAGCAGCAATTTGGTTAGATAATGTAACATATATATTTGGATTTAAATATTGATTAATTAAATCAAATCCATTTTGCAGCATTTATATTTACTTTTCGTTTTTTATATTTATAATGTCAACATGTATAACTGACAGTCTAATAAACTTTTGTTCCTAAGCAGAGTGCTTAGGAACAAATAAATTTTAATAAAGAAATTGTTAAAATCTCTTGTGTGGAAATGGATATTGAATTGTAAATCAATGATTAAAGTGCAGTGCTAAATAAAGTGCTAGTTTTAGAAAGGTGCAAAAG